CCAAAAACAGTTCAGATGCTGAAATGAGTACTGAAGATATGAGTAACAAAAAAAAATCAAAACACCTCACAGGTAATAACGTAAAATTAAAAATACGATATCACAATAACGAAAAAAAAAGATGTATGCTGTTGGCTGTTGTAACAGCTTTCAGTTTTATCAAGCAATATGCCACGCCAAAAGCACAAAGTTTTAATCTTTACGAAGCCCTCACCGCAGAGCCTCAACAATCTTTTTTTTTACAGACCACTTGGTGCACTGTTTTACTTTAGACAACTCTTCGTCAGTTCCTCATATAACAGGAATAGGCGGTACTTTACGCTCGCCGTAGCCTCGCGTGCGTCCCAGATCAGCGTTTGTTACGATGACGCTCAGGCATTGAGCAAGCAGAATGGACCATCGAGCCAGGAAGGGAGGTCGCTGCCATCCAGATCAGTTTTCTTCACTGGTCACCACAACCATTATACAAATATCAGACGTTCATACTGATACTGCCTGCTTCATTTTTGGCCCAGTAATCTACACATGGAGTTTTTCATGTTAAAAAAGCTTCATATCTAGGCTCAGTAAGCCAATTTAGTTGGCCGCTTCAACTATGGTACTTTCACTATGTTACTGCAAATGGCTTTCGTTTACAAATTTTGCACTACCAATAACACCTTTACACAGCAGTCTTATTCACAAAGAGGATAACTGAAAACGACTACAAATCAATAAACGACAGCGACAAGGCGAAACCCAAATTTGTCCGCTCAAAACCTTTCTAGACTGCTGAAAATATCAACCCTAATCAATACAATTTACAGTGTCTTATTCAGAGCCCGATCTGCACTTTCACGAGCACAGGACGAAACCGAGTGATGGGGTGGATGTGTGAGGGAACGGAGTAGCCGACAGATGTAATAGAAGAGTTGTAGTCAGATTTTTCCTTAGAATTAATTCGCGTCGAGACCGACATAGTCGTATGTTACCGCGCTCATTTAAATAAGGGAACAACTCGAGCGATGAACTAATATTTAGTCTATGAAATTAAAGTCACCTGAAGTGGTACTTAAAACACTTATTCTTTCCTTGGTTTAGTTTCAAGGCAAGACAAGATTAGTCCAATATCTCCTCACTTACTCTTTCAGTAGCCTTCCTCTTACCTTTGAAAAAAAAAAAAAAGTGGAACACACAACACGTATGAAAGAGTCTAACCCTTTTCTTTGTCAGAAACATTTTGTTTCACCGTTTTGTTGTTACAGTGGGAAAATATTCGTTTACTGCTAAAGGAAAGTAAAAGTTAGGCACTTTTTTGGTAACAAAAATCTTGTCTTATGTTCCTTTTCTAGGTTTTTGGAACTTTTACTACATTCTTAGAGGGAATGAGTAGTTTTTGCAAAATGAATTTTTTTTTAATGTCAAGGTTGTTTTATATGCTCGCCTACTAACTACAAAAGCTGAATAAGAGAATACCGGAATGTGGTATGAGTTGTTTTGCCTGTTTATTTGACGTTCTACAAATAAATTTTTTTTTACTTTTTGCCGGATTTTCCAAAAAAGGCTCCTGAAAACTGGTTTTGAGAGGAGCTTAAGAATGACTGGTGAGCTTTGCGCTGTTAATTTTGCTAAAATTTGATCACCAGGTATCATTAATATGCAAGGGACTCACCAAAACAAGTAACTATGAGTAACTCTCCAAGACACTATTCACCGAAACAGCCACCCTAAACCTAGACACATTCGACAGGAAGCTTCTAAGTTCCGTGGACACCAAAATGCACTGAAGTAGTGACAACCAATAAGAGTTTGGCGATGTTTTCCTTTGAAGAGCTCACTTAGAAATATGGCTTTTTAAGTGGACAAATTGCTTTGACGGATTTTTTCCGGGAAGTGACAAAAAAGCAGCCTTTTCTTGATTTGCGCTAAATATATTTTATGTGTGCACTAGCCTGTTATAAAAGCTTCTACTGCACTGCTTTTTCCTAGCTTCTCAATTTTCTAACTTCTAATCACATTTGAACTTCTATACAAAGCCTTACAAGCTAGTACATGCTTGACATGGTATGCACTTAACAGCATTACAGGGTTGGCTTCTAGGGTCTCTCTTCTAGCACTCTTACGCTGGCTTCAGATGCATCTCGGCAGAGCAGAACCATTTGTTTTGGATACAATGGCACCACTCTCCACTTGATTAAACCGCGTTTCAAGTTCCACTGTGCGACTTGTCTGGATTCAAATTAGAAAGTGGGAAACAAACAAATGCGGTACAGATCGGAAAGTAATTAAAGCTTGTGCGCATAGAATCTTCTGAAATTGAGCTGGTTGAGTTTGAAACGGCCAAACAACGCACATAAAAAAGATAAGAAGAGTCACCAACAGAGACGTCCGTACTTTTCTGCAACCTTGCTAGAGCGAAGCAGCTTCAGAAACTGAAAGGAATGGCAGATTTCAACAAATTGTTCAAATATTAATTTCTTTCCCTCAAAATACGTATTTTGATCGATTCTTTGAAAAAATTCTGAGAATTCCCCAATTTTGATTTTTTTAGCTGAACTTCTGACTATGAAACTAAGCTGAGGGAGTTTTCTGAAATGTACGAGGAAGCCAGTGAATTTGGCAAGTTTTAATTCTACGTGATGCTGAGCAGTGCCTCTCACTTGGAAGAGCAGTGCAGTATCTTGGAAGGCGTATTATAATTTCTACCCTTACTGGACCCTAAAATTTTTTTCAACTCTAAACTCTGCTCAGTAATACGACTGGAAAGGATGAATTTATTGACACAGGGGTAGGGAGTATAACAGAGTGCAGTGAGACAAAAAGGTGAACAAACATTTAGGTGCCTGGTCGTCAAATTTTGCAGTGCGACAAGTACGATAAATCAGAATTTAATTTTAGGAGGCAAGCCCATGTTAGCAAAACGACAAACTACGGTATTAATTCAACTCCAATTTCAAATCGTTTTGCTTCCTCACCGGTTTTCTTTTGGTAGGAAAAGATCATATTTTTTCTTTGCTTGGTTTGCTAAACGCATTTACGTTTTTTGAAACCCTGCTTAAAAGTTTGAAGTGATATATTTGACAACAGAAACCAGTTAAAGGAAAAAAATTAAGACTTGGCTCTTAAATGTAGATATAGAAGTAAGTGTACAATTCTTTTAACTGAACCGTCAAAATTAGGTAACAAAGCATGCCGACTTTATTAAATTTTTGAGTTATAAATGGGTCTTTTAAATTCAGTGGCCGTATTAAAGTGCGTTCCTAATGCGAGTGTAACAGCTCTTTCACTAGCGCAACTTTTAGAACTTGTTATTAGAAGTTTGTGCAAACTCAATTCTGTTTCAATCTCAAAGTAGTTTTCTGGTCTCCACCAAAGCTGTGATAAAAAGTGTCTTATCAGCTCTTGGTTGTCAACACAGAAAAAATGTCCAGTACAGTATAGCTTTTCTAAAGTGCTGTATTTGTATACTTTCTGGTTGGCACAACAAATTATTCCCGTAACTGCGTTCAAACTACAACTACACGATTGATACAAGTGAATACCCTAATTCAAAAAAGAACCACTCTAAAGAGAACAGACGGTTAAATAAGGTGTTAGATTAAGGCCAAACAAGAACGCAGGTGACGCATGAATCGGCTGTGATGCGTAGTAAGTGCCATGCTAAGGCATTTGTAAAAAAATGATAAGTTTTTCTCAGGCGAGAAACACAACACAAATTTCTCAAGAGATGACACCAATAAGCAGGTTATAGGATTCAAAATGTGATTCACAGATTTCGTGAGAGAATTACAGGTTTTAGCATTGAAGAGGATGTGTTATTGGATTACTATCCACGTCTATGCTATTCCCTCGGAATGACCAGAAGGATTTCCTCAGATTGAATCAAAAAACTTTTTTTTAATATCCCTTACAAGAACTTTTGTGGTCATTCATGCCGCATCAGCACTTTTGCTACAAAACCAAGAACGTTAGCTAACATTTATCTGTACATTTCCTACTTCAGAAATTGATAGATATTTGTTTGAAGCAGTCCTCTTATTGAATGCGTATAACAGACGCAGTTCCTTATCGTACAAACAGATGACGCTTTTCTCAACATTTCCCTCTTCCATCAACTTAACTGGGAAGAAGAATACACAAATTCTAGGCATTTAAACTTCTTTTTAATTATGTTGCGCAGTCCTCGTGTTTCGTTTCCAGTTGAATTAACACCAATTTTGACAAAAAACTTTACTGCTCTGCCAGAACTACAAAAGCAGAAGTTCTGTGGAACCAAAAAAGCATATTTCTTTAAAAATTTGAACTCTTGAAAACTAACAAAAGCAAGGGACAGTACTTTACACTAATGACCAGTCCGCTATGCCAAAATTCACGACGTTTTCTATTACAAAGCCAAATCTTTAATCAAAAACTAAGATAAGCAAACGGTTTTTCACATTTGTTGTAAAACCAGCACCAAAATTCACAGGTTATTCTTTCACAACAAGTCTGCCGTTACTAGCATAAATTTGTATTGACCCGTCTATCAGCAGCAAAAATGCTTCAAAAATAAGTTCGAAAAAGTATCAAAAACGAGAACAACTATAAAGAACACGTGATCATGAATAGAAAGGCTGTATTGTATGAACACAAGTATCGAGCTCTGGCGAAACAATTTATCATCTCTCAGCCCATATTTAGTCTTTTTTGAATCCCAGTAACCTAGTTACAAAATAACTTAATAAAAACCAAAAAATCTGACCCCTTCTGAGCCTCGAATTACCCGGAGAAAAAAGCTGTTATTTACAAAATACTGAAACAAAATATTTTCAAAAAATATGCAGGAATGATATTTCACATCAAAGAGATGAGCGTAACACTTTAGAAGATTACAGAGAAAATAACAGAGGAAAACGGAAACAAGAAAATAAGACACTTAAGAACAACTTTTTATACAGAACCCACAGAACCACCAAAGAATGTACAAAATTCATAGACAAAACCAATAAAAGACATTCTGGAATAAACTGGTTCTGCCAGTTAAAAAAAGACTGCTCAATAAATAGCTGATGTTGTCGCAGCACAGCCTCAGTGAAACTCAAGATCAGAAATGCAGTTTTAAAATTGAAATCATGTGCAGCTGAAACGTAAGCCAGCAATACTTCCGTTTGCAAACGTCATTTCCTTACTGCTCAAATCGGTAAGACTGTCTTTGTTTTTGACTTTACAAAACGGGAAAACAGCCCAGCTATAAAAAGTAAACCTCGTTCTCCACCTGGCGCGTAACTCAGGACAAACCTTAAAGACAGAGGAGCTTTACTTGAGGTTTGTAAATGTTTAATTTTCTAGACCAGTGACCTTGTGATGAACTCTAATAAGATCTTAATTTAATTTAATTACTTACCAGACCAATGCTATCGCTTGGATAATTGAAAAAAATATCGTCACCAAAGTACTTCTTAGCTGAAAAATTAACACCAAGTAAACAATTAGTAACAGTACTCGAATCTTAACTATGTTCAGAATACTGACCCATAAACTGGAGTACAACGTCGCAAACACAGTTAATAGATAAGCTAAAGTAACAACTCGTCGTTGCTCAGAAAACATATGCTTCAGGTAATTTAACGGCCCCAATAAGAAAGCGAAACTTAAAAGTAAATAAATTAGTTCTGAGTTAAGGACAAGACATGGTAGTCATAAAGGTACAAATTTGTAATTAAAACAAAAACTAAATAAAAAAACTAATATTTATACACAAAACCAAGAAGCAAAATACGAATGAAAAGACAAAGTACACTCGCAGAGAAAATACCGATCATTAACAACATACCTTAACATCAACATCACAGAACCTAGAGTGTTAAGAGCAGCAAACTTTCTTGCTTGAACAACAACAAGAGGGAGCATAACCACAGCCTTAAATTACATTTCTTTTTCACTTTCATTCTCACCTTTTACTTTTTTTGATTTTTTCCTACAAATGAAAGCAACCTCGGATAAACCTATCTTAAACAGTATAACTTTCATTTTCATACTACTTAGTTATCTCATTCGACAAGTGATTCCACATATCAGGAAGTAACCCTACTTCATTACAAACAAGCTAGAAGCACATTTCAGAAGCAGTTAAAATATTTTAAGAAGATAACATAGCGAAATTATAACAAAAAACTGTAAGTTACTAACCGTCCCAAAGGAAAATAATGCAGCAATCAAAAACATAAAGAATGCCAAAATCCGTTGCGTTCTTGATAACCTAAAAAAAAACAAACCCTCAACTACTCACAAAGCGACAAGGTTTTTCCGTAAACTTATTTAGAACCAACTCTTTCAATAGAAAGAATTTAAGTTAAAAGCTTTTGTACCCGCAGTTTCCTTCATCACTGTTTATAGAACTTAACCACCCAGAATTCTTCCGATTCTTTGCTGAGGGCAACTGTCCTGACGTAGAAGCTGTCTCAGTTAAGCTTTCAGTTTCTATTGTAGAAGAACGCCCAATCCTCGGCAAGCTACTTATACTGGAAGAAAGCTTTGCGCGCAGCTCACCGAGAGACGTGATCGAAGGACTTAACAAAGATGATGTACTTCCAATCGAACTTTGTTTTGCTTTTTGCTGATTAACAAAATCTTGAAGCGACGACATTTCTGAAAACATGAAGATCAACTCCTTTACCAAATTCTCCTAAATTATTCTAAGATAGTCAATCATAACGGATACTTCTTGGAAGAACGATGTAAAAATTAGTAGAATTCTTTGCCGAGAAGTTCAAAAAGAAAAAAATTTGAAAAAGCAGAAATTTTGAAATCACAAAAAATCCATACGTGGGGCACTACTAGATACACGTTCTGATCAGAACAAGAGAAAACGATCAGAGATTTAAAACTTAGGACACCATATAAGCATAATCAACTTTATTCAAAAAATAAAAGACACTCGACAAGAACAAGAATTGATTAATACTTGCATGCACGACTATAACAATAAATTTCAACGTTAGTTTGAAATAACCTTCAATGAATAGTACTTTTGGAACTATGAAAGAACTCCTAGGAACTTGATAGGCACAAAAATAAAGCAAATCTCATAATGAACTGCATTCTGGCTTTACAACATACTCGTGGTAAAGCGTTTGTAGTAACAAAATGATAGAAGAAGGAATTGAAAAAAGTACCAATCAGTTAAATCTACAGGTACAAAAGTAAATGTAAGCTGTACAGCGCTCCTAAAAAACTGATGTTACCAGAAAATGGGCACATTACAATTTGCTACGTCTCTTCAATAACTTGGTAAAATGGCTCCTCCACCTCATATTGCCTTGATTCCTCATAAAACTGCCGTATTTCATTCCTAATTACACGAATTTCTTCCAAATAATTTACAATGCTTTCATGAATTTGGACATTGGCTTCATAGTACTGCTTACAGTTACACGAATGCAGATTGCCTGACACAGCTGCTGGATTGCTCAACTGCATAGGAACGCTTTCAATTGACCTGAATGCATGGTAACTATACTTAGTTAAAAATAAAAAAAACTAAAAACTAAAAACTTAGTTAAAAATAACATCTGTACGAACTTGAAAATTATGCATCACAGTGGAATTCTAGAAAACAGTTCCAGTAAGACTAAAAGAAAGAATGCTTCAAAAATAATATGAAATAATTTGAAGTCCTTTAACTTCACGAATTTTTAAGGTCCCAAAGACAAATACTGTAGAAATTGAAACCACTTTTTCCAAAAAAAAAAAAAAAAAAAAAATTAAGCAAAAACGGAGGATTTCCATACACAAATCTGCTCACCCGACATTTATTTCCTCATCATACACGAGCACTTCGTTCGATTCCGACGTAAATTTTTTCCCTCGCCCCAGTTCGCTGTATTTACGCCGAAGTTTTTTCCAGTCGGGGAAGGGAACTGCATTCCCATTCGCATGTTCACTTCCCGACTGTTCTATCGCCATTTGACGACCCTACGGAAGAAAACAATCAAATCCACTTGAACAAATTTGGAACATACTGATTTTTTGTAAAAACAATTCAAACCGAAATTTTTTCTTGACAAATAGCTTTACCATAGTCCAAGCCTGTTTTGGCGTCAGGACACCTTCTCTTACCCTTACTCGGCAACTTTTGTCAATTTCCTGTGCTTTTAAAATCTGAGTTGATATTGGTTTACATTCAGGATGATGCTTGGGATGCGCATCACCCGAAATTTCACCGTTTACTGTCTTCAAACTTGCCCGTAAAATTATTTCTGCAACTTTCTGTATATTCACCAAGCAGTAAGCAGAATCAAATTTGAAATAATGGTGATAATTATTGTATTTAAAACAAAAACTAAAAAAAGGTTACGAAATAATATTTAATACAAAAATTAAAAAAAAAATTTACTTGGTACTATTCCAGCTTTCTTATCATTATTGCATAAAGTGTCGCACTTTGAACACCTGTAGTACATTGTTCTACCGTCCCTCGACCTGCTGTTAAACCGATACACTCGAACTAACTGACCATCCTCTTCCGGCACCACCACCGAAGAAAGCGTTAAGCGCTTAGAACGTGCTGAGAATATTGGAGTCGTAGCACGACTAAAAAAGTCCTTAGAATTTTCCCTTAAAGATTTGAAAAAAATTTCATAAATTGTTTAAACACTTTTCAGTAACCTTGAACCAGAATTCCCCTGTTCGTGTGAAGCAATTTTTCGTTTGAGTGCAGCCCTGCAAAAAAAGCGAATCTTCCGATCCACTAATGTATCAATTTTGCTGTCACTTTGATAAGTGCAATGGACAGTAAACTGCATCTCAGACCATAAATGTGTTACAAAAATATATTTTAGCACACTATAAAGCTCAATTTTAGGCGAAAATTGAACATTTTAAATAACAACAGGCCTCTGCTTCATGCCACTCTGTATCTATTTTGCCAACTTTTTCAGACTTAACGTTTTAAGTCTGTGTGATTACAGACCTTGAGCCTACATAAATCAATAAACAATAAAGAAAAGTCTAAGAAAGCCTGGGGCTATAAAAAATTAGCAGCAGCAATAATTACTTTTATTCTAGTTAAAAATTTAACTAGTAATCAAGAACATATACCGAACAGCTACCTAATATCCAATTTCTCACAGTTTGACCATTGTTTCTCACCAGCTGAACCTGGCCTTTTCCTTGTCGTTTCACGATATTTTTTATTAACACCTTTCCATTCAGGGTTTGAGACTTCTTCGAAAAAATAGTTGTCGTTTAATTGATTCCCCTCTTTTTCTGAACCACGCCACTAAAAAAGCAAATAAAAAAGGCACTAGGCAAATTGTTACAGGAATTTTATTAAAAACAAAACATACTTCAAAAACACCTATATACTACATCCCAAAACCTTGTTTATAATCGATCACAAAATTACTGAAAACAAAAGACGAGCTACAATTTCTTGCAAATTCAACAGCTATAACCGTAGTATCCAGAACTGGAATTAGACAATAATTCACAGCATAGGATATATCAGCTGCGAAATTTATATTAATTTTTGAATTCCACTCATGATCTGACAGTCAGTGTACGAAACAATACCACTCCTGAGTTCCCTCAAAAAACTAAAAGGACAAAGCAACTGAACAAAACTTTACCAAATCAAAACAAAATGCAACGAAAATGAAACCTGCTCTCGAGCCAGTTTAGAATACTTATTTCCACGCTCTCCAAACAACCGAACTGTACTCACTTCTTGATTTGAAAGAGTTGTATTATCTTCTTCTGCGAAGCTGTTTATCCCCGCCAAATACCTCTGATCGGCACCTAAGACTGTTCCAAAGTAACTCAAGAAGGATCTGTATGAGTGAAAACAACACTCAAGTAGTATATAAAGAACCTTTAGCTAATAAACCAACAATAATAAAACAAAGTTTTTACTGATGCCCTTCGATACTTTCAAATTACAAATGTCAAGAGCAAAAAAGATTTACCGCAGTAATTATGAGGCTGTTCAGTGAACTGATATGGACCTTCATCAGTCTCTTCCTTCGCAGAGGAGATAAAAGGAGCCTTCAACTGCTTAGGAGAAATAAAACGCCTTTGTGTGACATCACGATCAGTCATCACTCTAAAGAACTTTACATATGACCACTAACATTACGTCAGACACACTCTAAGGACAAGAGGCACTGTCATTACTTATAATATAATAATTTTAATTTAATTAATGCATTTCCAAAACTATACTCTGATGTACTGGGCACTGGTTCTAAAACCAACGCTTCAGAATTATCATCGACATCCACAACAACAGCCTCTTCTTCATTTGCAAGTCCTCTAACGCTCACATCTTTCATCATTTCTGTAACTTTCATAGGTTAACATTGGTTAATTCAAGAATCTGTAACAGACGACGTGATGGCGTAAACAATGTCTACGGTGATTCATGTAAAACCGCTCATAAGGCAAAACGACAGATTTAAGTTCTGCTTCAACCGAAGCAAAAACTTCCAAGAGCAAATTCAGTTTTACAAGAAATGCAACAAAAGAAACAACAGTGACGTAAATAAGTATTTTATATTCACACAAAATACATCACTCCAAGTGAGAAGTCCTCTTAATTTTATCATTTCAGAAGGAAAATAAGAAAAAAATGATGGCGAAAGCTGATACATAGTTGTACTGATAGCAATACACGTATGTCTCATGAAAAAGCCGAAAACCGATGAAAGGAAGACTTTTAAAGGCTTTAAATGCGACTAAACGAAATGATACTAAAGTCGCTTACTCCATCTGCTCAAAAAGTGCTACCCACCAGCGACTGTTATCATCTCAAAAATTAAACGTCTTTCGCTAGTTTATCATTACATATCAATTGAAACGACGAAAACCAAGCAAACTGCAGTTGATTGGCACTTCTTCATCAAAATTCATACAGAAATATTGTTGTCTCTAAAAAGAATGTTACTCAATCACTCTCCTAAGGATTTCAAATACATGGCAGCTCATTAGGAAAAGCGGAGCCAGAAGAATTTTTTGACCGCAATCTCTCAACTTTTTTTCTTCGTTTCTGACACTTTTTTTCAAACTCCTGATCTTCATCAAAACTTTCATTTCTCACTTCTCCAGTTAACTGATTCCGATTTCTTCAACACCTATAAAACTATTACATGTCAACAATGTCCTCCTTCTACAAGATAATTCAGTAAATACAGCCGACATTGAAAAAACAATCTAAAGTGAGTGCATATCGATGTCTTTATCGGACATCCGTCTCATAAAAACAATCTACGCTTCTAGCCATTCAACTACCGCCGATTCCAACACTTATTTCCTTAAAACATTACGCGATTACCAATTTCTTAACATGTTTCTGTTAGGAAAATTTGTGAACCAGTGAAGTGTCAACGATGGAAAACCCGCATCAATGGGTATAAAATTTACAAAGTCTTTCTTTCATTTAGGTGTGGATACAAATATTTATTGTTAATGTTCTGAATACCTCCTGGATGTCTACCAAGAACCTCTACTCTATTAGCAAACACCGTCAAAACAAACAAAGCTGAATCTAAATTATTCACTTCAGTCAAACGGAGGCAACTTGTTCAAAGTCATGACCACGCTGTATACTGTATACAACGAAACTTTCACTAATAAACAATCCAAATGTCATACAAAAAAGTACTCCCAAACTTCCAGCTTATGAAAGCTGCAACTAAAAGAGTAAAAACATCAAAAATAAAAGTGATTCTATTAAATTATTCCCAAAATTGCGAATAGTAAAACGACTTGATCCAGCCAAATCAGACGACTCACCAGGTTCGTCCAATAATCACTGATCACATCCGTACTGGTCTCAAGTATAAAATAACTTGCATAAATTCCATAACTATGAACTAACAACTGCAAAATAAAACAATAAAACTAAGTTATTCAAAAACCTGCAAAAGAAACAACGTGTAAAAAGTAGCGCTTGAGCTTATCAACAAGTAGAAATCTTCATCAATTATAAACTTCGTGATGTCATAAACAGCGATCTTTGCCAAGAACGGTGACGCAACCAACGAACAAACAACAGCACTATTGCTGTCCCGAAGCTTTTTAATACAGCGAACCCGTCCAAAAACCACTTACTAACTAACGAGCGAGTCTGAAACAAGCTCGAGGCACCCCACGTCTTGAATTGTAGAACAGTGGCCGTTCAAAACAAAGAAATACGATTAAAACTAACTACAAATGTGAGTGGAGCTGCATTTGTAACAGTTTATGCATTCCTATTATGCTTATTCATAAGCGTTAAAACCCAGAGAGCTACATAAGAATAAACAACAAATTTTTGTGCTATCGTCTTTACTTGACATTACACTCCTAGATCACTCTAAGTATATAATCATAAGCAATGTCGATACAACTGAAAAGAGTTCAGATAGCCGTGCCGCGTATAAATGAACAATGCTTTAAGCAACTGAAACCTAAAAAAATAATAAACGCTGCGAATTGAACAAGTAGACAAAATGTATATATGTTTGCACAAATAAGGTATTTTCTTGATTAATTCCCGAAAGAAAGTTTTTCAAAAATGGATAGTTTTGTCTATCTGCAAACATCAGCGAAAAAAAAAAAAAGAGAAGAGGGGGATGTATTATGGTTAGCGTAGTAAACTTAGCAAATACATTTCTGATGCCACCGGAACCTAATAAAAACCCGTCACTTGTATAGAACATAATTTAATAGCCATAGATGACCGGTGTAGTAAGATAAAGGTCATCAACCCTCTCTTACTAGACAACCTCAGCTCTCATGACTGTCGATAGCCTCTAGCCACCGTTTCGCAACTTCCTCATTACTTTCAATTCCAATCCCCTCAGTTGGCGTTGCTTTGCTAGGTGAATAAAATTTCTTGTGATACGGAAGAATATATCCCTGTAATAATACTTTTATGGTTTCCAAAATCACTAGTTTCTTTTTCTAACTTCCTTACACGTGTCCAGATGACTGGAGGGAATAAGCCCAGCAACTAACCGCATTGTCAACAGTATCATAATTAATTCCATGCTTTTTCATACTCATTGCATCATGATTCGGGAAAGCATTGTGCGGAAACACCTTTTGGCGAGTAAATAAGAATCTGGAGCAGAGAGCGGTGAAGGAAGAAAAAAAAACGAAAAATGGAAAAAATCACAAAATTGAGAAAAAAATTAAAAGAAATTTGGGAAGAAAAAGTGCAGCTAAATGCTTACTCTCGTGCTAACACAAGAATAAAAAATGTCAGGCCGAAAAGAAATAGTGTGACAGCAGTCTCTTTTTCGTCCATAAAAATACTTCTCCGAGATTTTTGAGGATAGTCTGAGGATTTTTTAAAAGTCGTCGAATTCCACCGATAATCGGGATTTTTTCTTAATTATTATCAATTTCTCAAAAAAATGAATTTCTTAAATAAGCGCTTGAGAAAAGGGTACTGAATGAAAAAACATAATTAGCCAAAACTCACAAAATACGACATATGGTTACCTAAACTGGTGCCATTCAGTAGCATTTCTTCCGTAATTGTGAACGTTGATATGGATGTGATTGTACTCTTCTCCCAAAACAGCATCATATTCTTTCCGTGTAGAAGCGCGCCGAAGTGTTTCGTAGGCCTTATTCAGTTCTACAAATTCTTTCTGCCGTCGGGCTGCTTCGGCTTCATCTAAATCCGATGCATTGTCTGGATGTAGCTGAAAATGTTTCTGAAGAAAGGTTTTCAGAAATGGGTTGTAAAGACCTGAGAAAATTTGTAAACCTATTTGATTGCTATACAAAAAAGAGATCTGTTTTACTAGTTTACATGAATCTAAAACCAACTTCTTTCGACTTTCGATAATATGCGCTTTTTAACTGAGCAAGGGTGGCGTCTTGACTAATGCCCAGTATTTCATAATAATTTCTTCTAAAAGCGGGACGAAGATCAATGAGTGGAAGAAATACAAAAAAGAAAACAGGGAATTTTTAAGGTAGTAGTTGCTAACACTGCTCGGGACAGTAAATTTACGATTAAATCGAACAAATGCGGAATTTGAACAGCGCTCACAAATAAAAAGATGAGTGGTGAAGTTTAGCTAGCTGATATCTTAGAAAACTGCAATGAACGATGCAACAACAGTGCTTTAGTCGATTCTTGTTCACGATGCCTTCGACAAGCAAAAACATTATAGATACGAGAGGAAAACAACAGTTTCATACACAGACTGGAGTGTGAACTTGTTCTTACTTTATCTGAACGACGCAATTGTCAGAGAATGCAATTGTTCATATTAAAGAAAAGTGATAAAGCCTAATCGTAACTCTAACAACGCCTCGAAAACATAATTTTAGCTTTGAGCCCAACAATCTGTACATAGTTCATCAACATAATCAAATACAGTTTTTCAAAAAAGCTTACAGTTCACTGAACGGATATCATGTACCGACGTCACTTACCGTCGTAATCATTTGGTGGTTGTAACAATCAGATAGAATCTGCAGTCGACAACTGGTAGCTTAGACGACTTACTTTAGTAATTTCACTAATTACAATTAAGCCGGTCAAAATATCAAGCAAGCAAAAGATGGACAACCGGCGGAAACTAATCAGAAATTGTATGGAGTACAGCGGTCACAAGAGTCAGTTTAGACAAGACTGGTTTGGCATTATGCCTGGTAAGCATATCGTTATCGCAGATGTTTTTCATGCCAACTGAGACTTCTGCACTTCGTCATATGTTACTCTTGTTTAATGCCGCTATTTCTTTGTACAGATTAGGTGGTTTTATCGTCAGATCCAACTGAAATAGATCAAAAAATTTTTGGTTTTATTTTTTTTCCGATGGAGGAAAAGCTTGTGGTGGGTTAGTGTTAGCTATTATTTTTAACAGTTGCCTTTTTTCAAAATATATATCTGCAATAAATTGTTCGAAATTTCTGTAGAGTGGTGGAGACGATAAACAGTGACAAACAATACGCTTTAGTACAACCAAAAAAGTTGGTAACTGTCACAAGATACAATCAAAGTTGTTAGTATAACTGTGTCATCCTTATGTTATTTTAAGAGGTTTCTCTTGAGCAATACTGCTGAACCATTAAAATATTGGTCTGTTTTCAAACGATTAACGAGCGCTACAGCGTAGCGCTGCAAAATATTAGATGACTTTGATGGACAGTAACTGCAGCAGCTTTTAATTACAAGATACGATGACACCAGACTGTATTTAGTTTTGAACAAACAAAGTTATTCGAACCATTGAAAGTTTCGATGAGCTGGATACCACTGTTAAGCTAGGAATGATGGCTGTCAACGCTAAGTATCTAGGTAAAAAAACGTAAATCGTTTGGATCACAAATCTGTGTCTGCTTTGTATGGTCTATGAACGTAGTTTGATCGCTGAGGAGGGCCATAATTTAAAAGTGGCGGATGAAATAACAAAAAGTTTTTTTTTTTTTTGTTTTGGTCGCTGTTTTGTCATATTTTTGGTTTTGGTATGGTTCGTCCATTCGTTATAATTCCTTATAATTTTTACATTACAGTTTTACTGGCGTAACAAAAACTTAAATGTTTTCATCGATATGCAGAAACGCTGTACGAGAATTACAGAGTTTTACGATGGAAAAAAGTCGACATCTAATTGCCGTATGTCAGATGACGTCAAATCATGATATGGAAGCGAATTTGAAAATTGCAGATGCCTTGATGCAGCAAGCTAAGCAACGGAATGCTGAGGTTTTTTTGCTTCAAGGTCGTTGGTAAAATTCAGGAGCTGAAGGGAAAACTTTTGCTTTTTGGTTCTTTATTAGCTAGAAATTAAGAGTACTTTTAATCAAGAAATTTTCAGATTTTGGATCTTGTTTTGTTATACTGAAATTTTCTTTGGCAAATTTTAAATTTTTTTTT